TAAACAGTTTAGCGCTCATTCTGTAAAAAGATGAAAATAAGGACATATAAAAAACTAAAGTAAAGATAAACTGACACTGGCTTTCTCTTTCATGTCTTCCTCGAGTGTTCACGGAGAGCTCGAGGCCAAGAGGACATCGATACCGAGTGGTTATCAAGACAAAAGTATCAGACACGAATCCAACTGCAGTCGACGATGATGCCACATTCAAAGTAATTCCAGGGGAACGACCGCGTCCCGCTACGGTGCCTGATCTGGAAATGGCATCCGATCATCCACTTCATATTCATCGTCAAACATTTTTCGAGAATCGGAAGTAATGAACTTTTAGCGAGGATTCCTTTTATCGAATCAAATTCAAGCGAGGATTATTATATTCCAGGATACCTATTTCTATAATTTCAGATTTTTTCTCTAGTCACATTTGGCCCGAGGTGGCGTCTCAGTGAGCGAGGGAGAGAGAGAGCGGCAGCGCCGTCCGACCTCCACCACGTCTACAGGTACACTGACTTCCCTTCCCTCGTTCCTCGTTCCCCTTCACGGAGGCTGAGAGGGGAGCAGGGAGGGGGGGGCGTGGTCACCCCTCCATGATTGTCGTAGGGGGGCGGGGAAAAGGGAAGGGGTTTTGGGTCATGTGGAAAAGAGTTTCATTCTGATTATTGCCTGATGACTAGAATGAAACTTGCGTTCCCTACGACCAGTTTTCCCTGGCTTAGAGGCGCACAATGGACGTATGTTTCCTCTTCTTTACGGCCAGTAATTCTTACGACCGCATCATATTTCTTATGAACTCGTTCCGTTAAACGGGCGTATGCTGCATGACCATTTTTATAGGAGTGTCATTAAAATTCATTTCTGTTTGAGTGTCTACTGCAACGTATATCTGTTTCCTTTCTGTCTTTCAGTCTTTGTTTATATATTATATTTCTGTCTATCTATCTACTTAAGTACATGCATATATATATATATATATATATATATATATATATATATATATATATATATATATATATATATATATATATATATATATATATATATATATATATATATATATATATATATATATATATATATATATATATACATAAACTTATATATATATACATACACATATACTCACGCACACGTACACACACAAACACACAAACACACACATTTACACACACACACACACACACATGCATATATATGTGTATATATGTGTATATATATATATATATATATATATATATATATATATATATATATATATATATATATATATATATGTATATGTATATATATATATATATATATATATATATATATATATATATATATATATATATATAGTTTTTTCCAACAGCCATTCGTTCCACTGCAGGACATAGGCCTCTCTCAATTCAGTATTGAGAGGTTATATGGCAGTGTCACCCTTACCTGATTGAATGCCCTTCCTAATCAACCGCGGTTCGGCGCGCTAACACTTGTGCCACGGCGGTGACTTCCCCTACGACACCTGCGTTTGACTTCTCAAGGCGATACGTCGTTTTCTCGGGCTTGAGCAAGCAGTCAGGGCGCAGGCATTTTTACGACTGCCGCGACGGGGAATTGCACTCGGGAGGGTCGGAGTCCAGTGCTCTAACCACTGAGCTATCGCGGCAGTCATATAAGCGAGAGGCGAGAGGGCGAGAGGCGAGAAGCGAGAGGCGAGAGGCGAGAGGCGAGAGGCGAGAGGGCAAGAGGGTGAGAGGGCGAGAGGCGAGAGGCGAGAGGGCAAGAGGGTGAGAGGGCGAGAGGCGAGGGCCGAGAAGCGAGAGGTTGAGAGGGCAAGAGGGTGAGAGGGCGAGAGGCGAGAAGCGAGAGGCGAGAGGCGAGAGGCGAGGGCCGAGAAGCGAGAGGTTGAGAGGGCAAGAGGGTGAGAGGGCGAGAGGCGAGGGCCGAGAAGCGAGAGGTTGAGAGGGCAAGAGGGTGAGAGGGCGAGAGGCGAGGGCCGAGAAGCGAGAGGTTGAGAGGGCAAGAGGGTGAGAGGCGAGAAGCGAGAGGCGAGAGGGCAAGAGGGTGAGAGGGCGAGAGGCGAGAGGGTGAGCGAACGAGAGGAAGAGAGGGTGAGAGGGTGAGAAGGCGAGAGGCGAGAGGGTGAGCGAACGAGAGGAAGAGAGGGTGAGAGGGTGAGAAGGCGAGAGGCGAGAGGGTGAGCGAACGAGAGGAAGAGAGGGTGAGAGGGCGAGATGGCGAACGGGCGAGAGGGCGAGCGAACGAGAGGAAGAGAGGGTGAGAGGGTGAGAAGGCGAGAGGCGAGAGGGTGAGCGAACGAGAGGAAGAGAGGGTGAGAGGGTGAGAAGGCGAGAGGCGAGAGGGTGAGCGAACGAGAGGAAGAGAGGGTGAGAGGGCGAGAGGCGAGAGGCGAGAGGGTGAGCGAACGAGAGGAAGAGAGGGTGAGAGGGCGAGAGGCGAGAGGCGAGAGGCGAGAGGCGAGAAGCGAGAGGCGAGAGGGCAAGAGGGTGAGAGGCGAGAA